TTAAAATAAAATAAGAAAAATATTTTTAAAAATACATAAAAAATACATAAAAATAGTAATAAAAAAATTAATACTAATAAACAAAAATCAAGAAATTTTAGGAAAGCTTTTATATTAATCTCATGAATTTTTCTTTTCCATCTGTTCAAATCGGCTCGATAGTTTTTTCCCTATTTAATGCAAACACGAAGGAACATTTTCCCTTTACTTTATATATAATATAGTTAGGGCCATCCACTTGAACTTGTAGCATATAGCCACGCTCTTCTTATTAGAATATCTGCCCCTACCCCCACTCCATCAATGCTTATCAACAGAGCAAAGTCTACCCGCACCCAAATAAGTTTGATTGTGTTGGTTGCATTTACAACCAGCGCTTGCAACCGTTTGATTCCAACATTGATCACAATTTCCCCACTCACACACACGCACTCCAACACACATGCATACACAGGCAACATCGAACGCGAACTTGTGCGCGAGGGCGAGAAGCTGAGCGACATGTTGGCCATGCCAGTGAAAGACGCCTTGGGCCGTGACCTCCAGCTGGACTACAGCAACGACATTGCCCAGCTGCGTCGACAGATCGACGCGAGCCGCGAGCGCCGGCAGCTGTGCGGACAGAGGCTGGCGCTGCAGCGGCTCACCTTGGAGCAGGTGACCCACATTCACGGCTACGAGCAGGAGGTGCGCTGCGCTCTCCAGTGGCTAAACGAGCTGTACGCGGTGCTGCTGCGCTGTCACTCCCATGTTGGCTGCAACATACACGAGATTCAGCTGCAGAAGGACGAGCTGCAGGGGTTTGAGGAAACCGGACGGGTGAGTTTTCAGCGAATATAGTGAGAGAGCGAGAGAGAGAAAGAGAGAGGGAGTAAAAGATACAATTTTTTTTGGTGCAAACTTTTGATGCCTTCTTCCATTTCCCTTGCAGAGCATTTTCAACTACGGCTGCCAGCTGCTAGAGGCCGCGCAGACGCTGCGCCTCTGCTGCAAGCTGGAGCAGCCGGAGTCGGAGCAGTTTCAGCTGCAGCTGCAGCGCACCTGGCACAGTCTGCAGTCCATTGCCCAGGAGCAGATGACCCGGCTGCGCGTCTCGGCGGTCTTCCATCGCAGCGTGGAGGCCTACTACAGGCAGCTGCGCGACCTGCGCCCCCTGCTCACCCAAGAGCTGGCCTCCCAGCTGCAGCAGCAGCGCCAGCAGCACAACCGCAGCAGCAGCGGCATTAGCAGCGATGCCGAAGCCTCGCCAGAGCTCTCGCCAGCCGACGGCCTTGGCGCACGCCTGCAGCGCCACCTGTTGGCGAGAGAGCAGCTGCTGGTTGAGGTGGGTCGCATGGTGCGCCTGGGCCGGCTGCTCAAGAAGCGGCTGAAGGAGCCCTTTGTGCTGGATGCGCTCACAGGCAAAAGGTGAGTGAGCTCCCAGATTTCGACAATCCCATTCCAGCTGAGGCGTCTGCGAGAGTGCACAGCGAGAGCGAGATACAGAGAGAGTGAGGAGAAACCACTCAGAAGCGAAAACCACTCAAATATCTGACTAATAATTTCTTCAGATAAAACCAAAATAAAAGCTGACAAAACTAAAACAAATCAGCTCGGCGAAAAGTGCCGCCAACTAAATAGAGAATTCGGGCCTCAGCAGTCTATTTCGGTGCGTGATCCAGCGCAGAGCGTCTGATGCTCGACAAGAAGCGTCTTTGTCAGTGTCGTCGGGAATACTCATAAATACATACATACACGAGGCGAGGCAACTTGTCAAGCTGTCAAGTGAATGAAGCAGCCGGCAATCGTGCTATACGTACAGTATATATAGACTGTGGATATCTTTAGTCCCAACCAACGACTGGAAAACGGAAAACTAAAACGAGAAAACGTGTGCTTGTGTGTGTGCGTGTGCCAACAAGTGGGTCAAAGTGGAACTTTCCTTTTGTCGTGTGCTTAAAATAAAAGTGTCATACACCAATTACTGCACTCCCCCCTCCGTCAACGGATCGACCCTTGTCTGGTGGGTGATCCTGCATAGTCGAGCACTTGCCGCAATTGACATTTGGCCGACTGGCTCGGAGCCAAACGCGTGTGCGGCTATTGCGTCAAACTACTTAATTGTGTGCGGCGCCAAGAGGCGGAAGCAGCAACTGAATCTGAAATGTTTGCCAGATTTCGGAATATCTTTGGCAGGTCCAGAGCCGACGAGGTGCCCACAATTGTCGTGGACGATCCACCCGCCGAGGAATCGCCTGGCGCGCCCTTGGCCAGCGAGGAGGAGGACCTCGGCGGTGGCCTGGAGCAGCCGCTGAGTGCCTCCACGCAGGAGCTGTCGCAGCTGCTGGATGCCATTAATCTAAGCAGCCAGCTGCCGGACATGAGCAGCGACGATACGGAGCTGGATGAGCCAAAGGAGGGCGACGACGAGGAGGATGACGATGAGACGGCGAGCACTTCAAGTGTTAAGACCAAGATAGCCAAGGCTTCCATAGAGCGCGACATCATTGTGGAGGACGCCTTAGAAGAGGAGGAGGAGGAGGAGCCAGATGGGCCGCCAGAGCAGCCTGGCCAGAACAGCCTCGACAAGATTAAGGCGCTCATACGCAACGACAGCGAAACATATCCGCACAGCGACTACACGGACACCGATGAGCCCTCGCCCCTGCACTCGCGCACCGCCTCAGTGGACTCGACAGCCGAGCAGCCGCAGTTGAGTAAACCCAATTTGTTTTCATGTGATTACAGCGTTGTGCCGGATGAGCTGCCGCTGGACAGCAGCCCGAGCCCGATGCACGACAGCGGACGCAACAGCAGCACGGGCAGCGGCGAGTCCGTTCAGGCGGAAACACCAGCCACGTTGACTGTGACGCCGACGGGCAGCAACGACCTGGCCTGTGCCGCCATCTCGCACAAGCTGAGCGCCATTGCCGAGGTGGCCGAGTCATTGGATGCGGTCATACGAGACTGCAGCGGCGCCGAGCTGGACCTCCCCACCAATGCCAGCCACAAGAAGCTGGGCATGGCCAGCGAGGTAAGTGACACGGGGCAGGGGAGGGTGAGATGTGGCTGTCGCTTACGTTTGTTTTGGGGCCTCTTTCATTTGGTTTCCATTCGATGCACGCAGGACTGGCAGTCGCGTTCGACGGAAGATGAGTCCTTTGCCACGGCCTCCGAGGGCAATTTCACGCCCAATTCGCATTCGTCTTCCTTTCAAACGGCCTCGGGCCGCACCAGCTCCTACATTGGCTCCGCCAAGAACTCCTTTGACGAGGCGGACGACTCGACGCTGAGCAACTTTGAAATACCCGAGCTGCCGCAGTCGCCGGTGAACATGTCCTTTGAGAGCTCCGAGCTGAGCTACTTCTCTGCCCAGCAGCCGCTCAAATCGGATGATCAGGATAGCGTGGTGGGCGTGGCCGAGCTGCACAGCCAAAGCGTAACGCCCACGCCCGAAGAAGAGCAGCTGCTGGCCCAGCCCATCGAATCGGACAGCGAACTAGAGGCCTACGGCCTGGACGCGGCCCACATCAGCACCGAGCTGCTGCCCAGCGCCTCGACGGCCGTCACGCCGGAGGTGAGTGCCCAGTGCGCTGCCACGGCTGACAATGCGCAGCAGACGACGCCGCCGCCAGCAGCGTGGCGCCGCAGCAAATACTACGAGAACATAACGAAGCAAACGATCAAGGGATTTCTCTGAGAGAGTCGCCCGAGCTTCCTGCGATTCTCCGAGAGCCCCCTAATAGAGCCCGCCTAATTAATACGCGCCATTCGCCTTCGCTTTCTTCTTTGTTGTTTGTTTTCTCTTTTTTCTTGCCAAAAACGAACTTGCTGGCATTTTATTTGATTTTATGTCTAATTTTAAGTTATTTCAGCGCATGAGCTAAACGCATGTCTTTGTGTTTATTAGTTTTTAAGTGAAATGCATGTTTTTAGTTGTATTTATTTAAATTATGAAACTAGCCTAATTCATTCGTTTGTTTTGCTTGCGACAATTAGAGAATTCCAAAATAATTTCAACTCTATTTCTAATTTATTTAATAGCACACAAATTATATATATGAAAATAATTTTATTTCTTAGCTATAAATGAATTTTTATGCATTTATTAAACACACTTTTTTAGTCACAAATAAGTCAGAGAAATAGCTGAATTGATAATTGAACAAATATACGTTTGCATTTTAGCGGTAATTTATTGTTGCATAACTTTTGGCTGCAGCTGTAAAAGCCAAAGCTTAACCCTTGTGCACTCGAGCGGTTGAATGAGAGCCCACAACAATTGCCTCGACCTGGTCTGCTCATAAATATTTATCAAATGCTTTTTAAGTGATTTTAATTAATGTGTGAGAACTGTCATGAGGGTATCTCACCCACACTCACACATGCATATGTATGTGTAAGTATTTCAGCTACTCAAATGTCTCATTAATCTCAATCAAAGAATAAACATTATAAATAATATATACACAAAGGGAGGGTGACTCTTCTTTGCACATGCGAGTTTTAGTTCAAAGTTCTTATGAATTGCCCCACCCCTCCCTGGCTCATCTATGCACAGCAGTCAAGCGCCATGTAGCAATCAAATCAAATTGCTAGCTGCTCGAAGCTGGCCGCCAAGTATAATTCAATCAATTTTTGGTGCCGTTGATAGGCTGCAAAATAATAACAGAATACGTTGATTGGATGCAGCAACACGAACGGCACGAACTAGCTAGCCCCCCCGCTCTCCGCCACGCTCGTGCTGCATGCCTTTGGTCAGCGCTGCTCGAGCAGAGCCTGCCACACGCATTTTGAACGCTCAAGTAGCGTAAAACTGTGAAGGGGCAGGGGAGGACGGGGGGAGTGAGTGGCGAGAGGGTTAGCTGTGAATGCGGGCGGCCGCCTGTTGCATTCTATTAAGACACGATGCAGTCAGGTTGCTGATGTTGTTGTTGTTGCTGTTGTTGTTGTTGCTGCCTCTTCGGTTGTGTCTGTTATTAAAGTACAAGCTATGCTTGAGCACATTGTTGCAATTGTTGTTGTTGTTGGTGCAGTTGCTGTTGCTGTTGCCGGCGCAGGGCATTAAAAATTGAAATCATGAATTAACGACGGCAACGAATGCCAAGAGCACTTGTTTATTTATGTCGTCACCGCCTCCCACTCTGCCAGCACCCGCTCTGAAGCTCACTCTCTCTCTCTCTCTCTCACGCCCAGCTCAGCCGGCATGCGAGCTGCGTCATTTGAGAGCGCCAAAGCTGAGCGAATCGGTTAAGTGCCGGGCTCCCCCGGTTTTGGCACTCGCACTCGCACTGGCAATCGACCCGATCTCGTGGCGATCCGGCGGCTGCTGCTCAGTCTTGTTCGAAGTTCGCGTCGTTCGGTTGTGGCGCAAGCGGCGCGCGCGTTTTCTTTTCAATCTGTTTGCTCATCAATTCGTCGAATTCAAGAACAACATCGAAATGTGCGAATAAAGTTTTTGAATAATGTAAATTTGGCATCGAAATGTAAATGAATTTCTGACGCTCGTAATAAATTAACAACTAATGGCATTGAATGCTAGATAAATTATATTTAATACAACAAACACACACACATTCGCATATTTATATGTATATACAAAATTGATGCTGAGGCACAAATTGTGTTCTAATTTAGTTATTGTTGTTGGCCGTCGTCAAATCAAGAGACAAGCGAATTGCAAAAAGCAAAAGACACGGAAAATAAATATCATTTCGTTGACTAGCATTTCGGGGCTGTCAGCTCAAATTGACATTTGTCGGGGAGTTCGCTAGCGACAGGCTGGCAGGCAGGCAGGCATCCAAAAATTCTGGCAGCCACGTCCCATTTCCAGGCATCTGCTGCATCTCTCTGTCTCGCTCTCTCTCTCTGCCTTCCTCTGTGTGTGTGCATCATTTTTATAGTGGCTGTTTATTTTTAGAAAAAGTACAATTAAAAGCATTTACATTGGCCCATGCGAGAAATCGCTTCAAATGTTTTGGCCATAAAAATCAAGAAAATAATGAAACTAACATGAAATTACCTAATGCCACAGCCGGGCGCACACACACAGGGCAGCAATAGCAGCAGCAGCAGCAGCATCAGCTCACATTGCGTATGCGTAATATTTCAAAAATAAATGAAAGCTGCCATAATTTCTGCCAAACCGAAACAGTTGCAATTGATTGAGCGAGTGAGAGAGAGAGAGAGAGGGAGAGGGAGGGCAAAGGCACACAACAGCCAAAAGGTTAACATTTTCAGACACTGCAACAATTTTTGGCTCATGTGCGCGATTGTATCTCGGTATCTCGCAGATACAATACAGCAACAATGATTAGCCTGACGCACATCCGCCAAATGTGGGCTATTCAAACAGAGGAAGGCAGCAGAAGCAGCAGCAGCAGCAGCATCTGAGAATTACTCAATATGCGCGTAGTTCTACGTTTTAGTTTGATTTTCAAAAATAGCGCAAATTGAGCATTGTCATCGGGCCGAGCAAAGATCGTTGCGGCGCACGCATCAAAGGCAGCGCTAGAAATTCGCTCGGGCGCATATGCAAAATACAGCTGTATAGGTGTACTCTTATATATTGTATATATATATATTATATATATATAGACATTGTTGTGCTTAGCACACAATAATAAACAGGCAGCGCGAGGCATGAAGTCATAGTCGATCTATTTGCCGTAGTTCTTCGCTCAGAGCGTATTCAGTGTGTTGGGGGGCCGTCAGACGATCGCCAGCATTGATAGCGAGCGCGACAAACGAACAACTCGAGGAAATTCGCGAAAACGAACAACGAAGCAACAAACCAAACCAAACTAAGCTAAACTAAGCCAAACTAACTTAAGCTAAACAAATTTCTTTAAGGGCAATACAATAAATACAAAACGAAAACAAAATGCACAACAACTAAGCGAAAGACGCGCGCTATAATAAATACTTATATATATATCAAATAGAAAACAAAAGAAAACTAAACGGGAAAGATTAAACAACGCCCACGCCTACACAACACAAAACAACTCGAACACGTAGCCACTAAGCCGACAACAACACTCAACACACACACACACACAGAGAGATAGGCCACAACATGGAACGTCGTCAAACGTTAGACTCATCGATGTCTTCACTGTACTCGGCCAGCTCCTCGAATCGCCAGCTCCAGCTACAGCCACAGTCGCAGTCGCAGTCGCAGTCGCACTCGCAGTCACAGTCGCAGCTAGACGCCTTCAATTATTCAGCAACAATGTCATCATCGTCGCCAACGCCGAGCCAGGCCACGACGTCCTCCTCTCTGCGTGCCACCACAATTGGCACCGTTGTCGTACGCTGCGGACCCATACAGCTGGTGATAGCGCTCTTGCAAGTGAGTTGTTGTTCTTGTTGTTGTTGTTCTCGTAGTTGTTGGTGTTGCTGCTGCAACATGAACATTGTTGCAGATACCAATAGATAACTATGTCTTCAAGTAGCAAACGCTGCAATTTATGCAGCTACACTTGGCCGCTAAGTCAAAAGGGCAAATATGTAGATGTTTGTCCTGGCCGTGCCAGGGAGATCTCAGTGGGCTATATAAATAAGATATCAGCATAGTTTATTGCCCCTCCAGGCGATTCTCCTGACCCCAAACAGCGTGAAGATTTTCATGTTCATGTTCTGTCATGTGTTTGTATTTAAGCGAGATGTTTGCTATAGCAGAGCTGATATGATTTTTGCACATCTTTGTTTTAAAGCCTCTTAACTTTTGCTAACATCTATTCTTTTATCTCTCAGTTTGGCAAATGGAACTTTATATATATGACTACGTTTCTTTACTCTTAATTAATTTATTAAATCTGTTTCTGTTTCTCTCCTTTGGAAGCCTTTTATTTATGTATCTCTCTTATTTTAGTCGATTTTTCCATGATGTAGAACTGATGTAATTCCTTTTTTCTCTGTATTTCCCTCTCACTCAAACCTCTCTCCATTAAACTTGTATAGCCCTTAACCTTTCTTTCTTTCTGTTATGTCTCATTAAAGCATTACCTTTTATTCTCTTCCCCTCTCACACTCTCCTTGCCCGATTTGCACCTTATTTTGGTATTCATATTGATAATTTTACATATCACATCGCTAAGCATGCCTCCCTTGCCGAGGCCTATAAGAAACAACTCCGCCACAGCTCCGAAACAATCAAAAGGCAATTCAAATATTTGAGTTTTATTTCGACTAATACCAAAAACTGGTTGCTAAATTGGTTTCAAACCGGCTTCAATATAATTTCCGTGCCAATTAGCACATTGAGCGCCCCACAACGAAAGCAAAAGTTGTTGATAGCACTCGTATGAGCAGAGTGTGTATTTATTTACTTATTATGTCTGTCTCCCTCTCTGTCGCTCTCCCTCTCACACTCAGCTTGTATTTGAAACTAAAACAAAGGGTTCAAGGTTGTCTGACATCAGCGGAGCGAGTGTGCGCGTTCTAACGTGACAAAAGAAATGTATCTGCAAGATACTTTGGCAATTAGGCGCAGCTGCTACCTGCACGAGAACATACAAAATTATATATATGTATATGTATATACATATATATCTGCATGAATAAAAAACAAAA